TTATTTGAATAACCACATAGATCTCACGATATTCGCCCCCGACGATCTTAGAACCAACACCCATGTACCGGTTGTAATCAGAGCATTATATTCCTCATTCATGGCTTTTTTCCAGTTTGGGTCTTTCAAAGCCTGTAAATACGACCTCAGGGACAGAGGAGATGGAGGAGGAATGAAGGTTAAGTCGTTGCAATGGTTTTACTATTCCATTCTTGGAGCGGGTAGTCATGGGGTGAGATGGAGGAGTCTGAGGCCTTTCCTCGTGTGGAGGAAAGGCTAGAGGCCCATCCTCGTGAGGAGGAACGGGCGGAGGAGACGGCAGAGCCCTATCCTTGTGAGGAGGAGAGGGAAAAGGTGTAGGTGGATGAAGAATGTGACGAAGGTTGGGTGATGTATCGGAGTCAGAGTGAAAATCGTATGAGGGAGGGTCGAAAGGGGTGACCGAGCCATATGGGAAGATGGTCTCGTCGAAGGTGACATGTCGAGTAGAGAGATCAAAACATCGGAAACCACAATGATATGTAGGATATCCGAGGAGCACACAGGGAGCAGAACGAGGTTGAAATTTATGGGAGGTATAGAGGCGTGGAAAACATAGGCACCCGAAAACCCTAAAGTGATCATATGTGGGGTGCCGGTGAAAAAGAAGGAAATGGGGTGTGTTATTTGAGATAGACGCAAAGGGAAGAATGTTAAGAAGGTGGTTGGTCATATAAAGAGCTTCAGGCCAAAACGTGGGTGGCAGATGGGAGTGGAAAAGAATAGTGCGCACCATCTTATTTATCGTGTGAATCATGCGTTCGGATTTCCCGTTTTGTTGGGAGGTATGCAGACAGAAAAAACGAAAGGTGATGCCATTAGATGCAAAATGGTCATGAAAAAGTTTGTTGTCATATTCACCTCCGTTGTCGCATTGAAAATGTTTAATGGTGCGACCAAAATGGGTTTTAATTATATTTGAGAAGTGTAGGAATTTTTTAAATGCTTCTGGTTTATGTTTGAGAGGATAAACCCAAAGGTAGTGAGAATAATGATCTAAAAATAATATGTAATAACGTAAACCGCCAAAACTAGTGATAGGAGATGCCCACAAGTCAGAGTGAGTAATATCAAAAGGTTCGAAAACAACTGTATCAAACAAATAAAACGGAAGCCTGGTATGTTTGCCAAGTTGACAAGCTTGACAAATTACATTATTTTTAGGGGAGCGACAAGAAATTGAGCTACTAGAAAATAAAATCGGATCACACTTACAAAGGTCCAGAAGAGTGCCAAACTGAAAGATGAGGGCTTGCTTGTTGGATCCTTGCTTCCTTCTTCCAACTTCTTCCTTCTTTGGCTCCAAAAGCACCACACTAGCTCCCAAATGAGATGGAAAGATGATTAGGGTTTTCAAGGATCGATTGGTGGGAACTGGAGGCTGATAAAAGGCCAAATCTTCGGACTTAAGGAGATTATATAGGATGCAAATCCCTAAAAATTAGGGTTTTCCCAACCAACCGCCAACACGTCGTGTTTACATACCAACACGTCATGCTGGTCCATGAAAATAGGCGACTCAAAAGTTCTCAACACGCCGTGTTCCAAGGGAAGGACATGCATAATTGGGAATAATTTCATACCTGGAAATCGGGATGTACAGTTGAACAAATATTTGGGAATTAGGATGAATCTTATATTACTTTTCCCAAATATTTGCAACACTACAATCTTTTAACCTAGGGACTATAGTTGAATGGTGCACTGCACCATTGGATAATATGGAGCAAGTGGAGTTCATACCTTTTTCTGTCATTTTTCTCCCTCTATCAAGGGATTTTCACATTCTCGACCTTTTTATTAACATTGATGCAACACATTTATATGGTAATTACAAGGGAAAGATGGTGATTGCAATGGGAGTTGATAGTAATAATCTATTTTTTTCTCTTGCATTTGCTATTGTTAGAAAGGAATCTTATATTAGTTGGTATTGGTATCTTAATCATGTCAGAAACATGCGATGAAAGCATGTGACGATATTTGTTTAATATATGATCGTCATAGTGGAATTCTAAAGGTAGTTAATAAGCAAGGATCTCCTTGGTTGGAGCCATATTGTTTTCATAGGTATTGTTTATTTTATTTTGTAAACCATTTTTATGTGAAGTTTAATTTAAAACTTATATTTGAAAGGACTGTTATAGGTATTGTTTGCGGCATTTTGTCAACAACTTCCATGACAAGTTTTGCAACTCACGTCTAAAAGTGTTAGCTTACTGTGTTGAAAGTCATAATCAAGTTTGTAAGTTCAAATCCATCATGGAAGAAATTAGAAAACTAAATGCACAAGCTCGCCAGTGGCTTGAGGAACATTTACTGATTAGATGGACACTTACACATGATGGTGGAAAACACTACGGATTGTTCACTACAAATATGTCAGAGATTTTTAAAAGTATACTTAAAGGTGCTCGTTTTTTACCAATCACTCCATGCGTGTAACTTATATTTTATAGATTGGTTCACTACTTTGATGTGAGAAGTTCATTGGGATCCAATGCCCAAGCTAATGGAGAGGTGTTTACCCCCCATGTTGTTTCAAAACAAGCAGCATCGATGTCAAAAGCTAGTGCACATACCATGAAATCTTTTGGCTGAGCGAAATGAATATTTGAGGTGGTTACTCAAAAAGGGAAAAATATGCAAGTTGTTGACTTTGAGAAAAAAAAACTTGCACATGTGGTAAGTGGGATGTACATAAATATACATGTTCTCATGTATTAAGTGCATGTGTTTATTTTTCCTTGAATAGTTGTCGGTATATTCAACAATATTACTTAAGTTTTGATTATTTTGCTACTTGAGCATATGAGTTTTTCTCAGTTCCTCATAAAACATATGGGCCTGAGACATCTATTCGATGAATGTTTCCAAATTCGGAGTTAAAAAGAAAGGAAAAGGGTCGCCCTCGTTCTACAAGACAACATAATGAAACATATATTAAAGAAGGGGAAAAATTTAATCTTTGTGGAATTCTTAGACAATTCGGTCATAATCAAAAGATATGGCCTTCCAAACCTAGAAAAAAGAGATGACATGTCCTTCTAAACCTAGAAAAATATATGCTGATCCATAAAGGTTTTTGGTCGAAGTGGATTTGTTCAAATTTTTATTAATTTATTATAAATTTACTCATTTTATAAGCACGTTGTTCAAATTTTGTGTACTATGTGTCACACTTATGCGTTTTATGTAAATGTTGTTCTATGAATAATCCAAACAAGTCTCATATTTATTGTTGACCATTAGTCTTTACATCAAATATTCTTTTGTCATTTTTCTATTACAATTTATTTATAAGTCTTATAAAAAATTTCACTGACTATTCCTTGTAAAATTACAAATTTTCTAAAGCGTATACGTAAAAAAGATACTTTTATTTATTGAATGCAATTTGAGTTATGTATAAACCAGTAAATATTTAATGTGATTAGAATAGAATGACGTAGTGTAGTATCGATCTAATCTCGTGGTTTGAAAACTAATAAAAAATTATTTAAATGGTATAGTTTGCAATATATAAATCTTCTAAGTAATAAATTAAGAAAAATATTACACTACCATAAATTGGTAATTTAAGAGTAAAATATAGTTTTGTTCCTTGTGGTTTGGCTAAAATCTCATTATTGGTCCTAGTATTGGCTTTTTGTCATTGTTGGTTCCTATGAAGGGTTTTGGTAACACCTATGGTCCCTAAGCCTTAACCCCATTTATTTTTACGTTAAAATGCATGTGAAAAATACCAATATAGCTCTTTTTTAATTTCTTTCTTTATTGATATTATTGATAACCTCATGGACCATTTCTGTAAAATTTTGAAAAAACCCCCTAAAAATGTTAGCCCATTGTCGTCCCTGTGCAACAACTCTCCATTGATATGATGGAGGCGACACCCTTATATCATCTCCAACGCCGACAACACCTTTCCAAACTAGCTTCATCGATGACGCCCTCCCTCCCTCTGCCTCCATCCTCTCTTCGTTGGCGACTAGCTTCTCCGCCTCCGCCTCTATCCGTCGCCGACGACTTGCTCTTCCGCCTCGATTCTCTCTTCACTGTCACCCTTTCTCTGCGACCAAGACTTCTATATAATGGGTATTCAGTTGTGATCTTCGAATTAACGCCTCTTTTGAGAGTGATTGAAGTTAAAAAGAAAGTTGGAGATAAAGGAGAATACAATGATTTTTATAACCAAGAACTTCGGCCAAGATTTTAGTCACTTATGGTGACTGATCAGTCCACTGAACCCACACATTTACCTTCTGAGTTCTGATAATGACTTAATTAAGAAAGAAGATCAAATGCATGAGTACAGTTTAATTCCATATTCTTACACTACACTTGTAATGGTTATTTTTGTATGATACCGATCTTGTTTATCTTTTATTAATCGTTTATATGGTTTGTTATTATAAGTGTTAACTGAGTAATTGCTTAAAGAAAGATATGAAAGTTGTTACTCCTTAAGAATTGATGGAAATATTGAATACACAGTTGTACATTTGCTTGAAGAAAAATATGAAATTTGTTTCTCGTTTATTTGCTCCTTAAAAGATTGGGTAAACAAACATGTACTTGATTTGCATTCGATGGTCCACCATGTATAAAAATTTTGGTGGTGGTTATTTTATTGATTTGGTCTCTTATATTTTAAAAAAAAATGACAAAAAAATGTAATAACACAAAAGCAAATTAGACACATCGTAAAAAGTAACATTTAGGCTGTTAGATTTAACAATGTGGGGACCATGGGTGTTACCAAAGCCCTCCACAGGGACTGGTCATGACAAAAAAACCAATACTAGGACCAAAAGTGAGATTTTGGTCAAACCATAGGGACCTAAACTGTATTTTACTCTAAGTTTAAAATCAAATGAACAGGTAATTATTTTTTAAAAACATTATACCAAATTACTTAAAATAGTTAGAAACGAGTGACTTCACCGTTACAAAGTTTAACGGCAATCAGCTATTTGATAAGCTCGGCGATTCGCTGAATGCGACCAAAATGGCGGTTTTCTGATAGCGACCAGATAACGAATCCTACTTTATTGTGGCCATGTTTTTTGGAAGATCAAATATCATTTATTTCCTCTAATATCAACATATTCTCTGTCTATAATTCCTTCTAGATGCGTAGAATTCAAGATGACATTACCTATCAGGTTCGACGAATAAGTTTACGACATATTAGGGTTCGAGAATGACACATCTTCAATTGGATTTCTCATTTTTAAAATGGAAATGATGAATCTTATCGCGAGAAAGTTTTTTAATTTCTTTAAAGCTGATTCGGAATGAATTAGTGAGATTAAAGCCTACCCATGTTAATGCCTTGCAAGTATTCGACGAAATTCCAGAGGCTCAAAACAATCGAATTTGAAGGCCGTACGCTAAACAAAGTATGCTGCTCTTGGTTTTTCAAAATTTATTTTGTTGAATTCAATTGTTAAACCTCAATTAGCAAGTTTCCATGCTTCTGTGATGATTTTCTTCTCTTTCCTTTTGTTATTGTTCTTCCTGATCATATGATTTAGTGCTCCTTTTTACAATCTGTGAATTCATGATCTTCTATCTTGTTAAACTTTACATGATCTTCATCAACACATTACATGACCATACACCAAAAAATTTCTATTTACTCATTAAATAAAGGGCATGAAACGGATTCGAAAGTTATTCCTAAATGGGCTAAATGCAAAAACTAGCAAAATACTTTCCAGTTTTTCCAATTATAGCATATCTGACTTTCACCTCTTGTGCCAATTTTACATATGATTTACCCTATGGTGTAGAAAAATGGCAACTCCAGTTGAACCACCAAATGGGATTAAATCAGAAGGGAAGCATTACTTTTCTATATGCCAAGCATTATTTGAACTAGATACAAATTATGTTCCCATAAAGCCTATTGGTCGAGGTGCATATGGTATTGTTTGTTCTTCTTTTAACAAGGAAACAAATGAAAAAGTTGCAATAAAAAAGATCCACAACACCTTTGACAACCATACAGATGCTTTGAGAACTTTACGTGAACTCAAACTTCTTCGACATCTTAGACATGAAAATGTTATTGCCTTGAAAGATGTAATGGTGCCCATGCACAAGACAAGCTTCAAAGATGTTTATCTTGTTTATGAGCTTATGGATACTGATTTGCATCAGATTATTAAGTCATCTCAGTCACTTTCAAATGATCACTGCCAGTATTTCCTCTTTCAGGTATGCAGCTACACAAATTATTTCTTTACACATAAGGGTAAAATAGTCATTTACTCCTCTTTCACACCTGATAGATTTTCAAAGTACAATTATTAAATACGAAAAAATGAAGCAAAATTTCGATAATAAACAAAATCAATAAAAGTAGGCTGCTAATTCATATATTTAACGTTTTATTTAATAGAGAAAGAACACTTAATAAAACCTTTTCCATTTCCCAAAATCTTTCTTGATTTTCTCAAATACTTTTCAAATATCATTTATTCCTGAGTCTGACAAAAGTCTGCAAATCTTTCCTAGTTACTACGAGGCTTAAAGTATCTCCACTCTGCCAACATCCTCCACCGCGACCTAAAACCCGGAAACCTTTTAATCAACGCGAATTGCGACCTAAAAATATGCGATTTTGGGCTGGCCCGCACAAACAACAATAAAGACCGATTCATGACGGAATATGTAGTCACGCGGTGGTACCGGGCCCCAGAGCTTCTCCTCTGTTGCGAAAACTACGGAACCTCAATCGACATTTGGTCAGTCGGGTGTATTTTTGCTGAACTTTTAGGAAGAAACCCGTTGTTTCCTGGATCCGAATGTTTAAACCAATTGAAATTGATTATTAACATTCTTGGAAGCCAAACGGAAGAAGAAATTGCATTCATTGATAATCAAAAAGCAAGAAAGTTTATACAGTCGCTTCCATTTTCACCTAGGGTGTCGTTTTCTCAGCTTTACCCTGAGGCTGAACCAATGGCGATTGATTTGTTGGAAAAGATGTTGGTTTTTGATCCGTTGAAGAGGATTAGTGTTGATGAAGCGCTTAATCATCCTTATATGTCGTCGCTTTATAGTCCGGGTATGGATCCTCCGGTTGAAGGTGCGGTGGATGTGAATATTGATGAGGAGTTGGGGGATGAGGTGATTAGGGAGATGATTTGGAAGGAGATGCTTCATTATCATCCTGAAGTTGTTTCTGTTTCCGTTGGTAATCCGTAGCCAACCTGATTCCCATTCCCATTCCGATTCCGGTTCTGATTCCGATTCCGATGTTGACTTTGAAAGGTTTGTTTTTGAACTGTGATTTTCGGTATTTTTTGGAATAAGCATGGAGTGTATACTACAGTACGGTTTGTTCTTGAACTTTTAGTTGTTGTAGAGTGGTTGTGGGAGATTGCAATTACTTTTTCATTTAATGAGATTAATGGGTTAAACACTTAATCTGAAAAGTTATGTATGGCTTTTTTTTTTAAATAATTTTGAGCAGACTGACTTAATATGTTAAGCCAAAAAAAAGGGCTTGATATATCAACACACTAAACCTAAAAAAAAGTTTGATGAATGTTGTGAAATTTGTTTATTGGAATATAAAGGTAAAATTTTCATTTAATTAAATTAAGACAATTTATTTGGTTGAGAAAAGAAACATACATGATATATAACACTTTGGAATTACTAAATAAATATAAAGTATTGGCCACTTGATAATGTATTTTAGTAACTTATTAAACGTGATCAAAAGTGAAATTTGTACTTATAATTTTTAGTTTACTATGAAAAAGCTAAATGACTAGCAAATCAGGTTAAGAAATTTGTGAAATATTATCACTTAACATGACAAAAATAATACATGAATTTTTTATTTTCACCAAACCTCAAATTTGACCACGTAAGAAGCTTCCAAATGTTATACAAGGTTCTAAGTTCTAGAAAGTAGAAACCCTATGAAATGGTAATATGTTTTATTTTTTATAAGTTCTCTTTTTAATATTAGGTACAATAGTTTTCTATGTGAAAATTCATTATGATGTTAATTTGTTCTAAAACATTGACAAAATTAATTTTTTTTAATATCATTTAAGCTATTATTTACGTAGTAAAATTGATTAGCATGTTATAAATACTAACAATAATTTCCGAAAAATATAAGGTATATCACATTGAAATATTAAAAATAAGGACTTTTCACCCTAAAAAAAATGAAACAAATCATTTAATGGTTTATTAGATAAAAAACAATAGAGCTTTTTTTTTTCCTGAGATTTGCTCATGAAGTTACTCATTAAATTGTCACAAAATCATAGTTGATGTTATATTTTGTCGTATTTTTTATTAAGTAATGTTTCAACAGTTATATAGTTAAATATTTTAATTTATGTTTTAAATAAAACAATAGGATGATCACAATATCATATAATACGCTTCTTTTATTGCAAATTATGTTTGATAAGACCATAATTCTTTTTTATAATACCTTATAAGCTAGTTTGATAATTTATTTAAAATAACTTAGTAATAAACTAGTTTATAAATTAAAAGTTAGTTTTTCGACTAGCACGTCAAACAAACCTAAAAACAATCAAAGACGACTAACTTATTTATGCTAAAACTAAAACCCTAATGACTCCTAATTAGGATATGGATAATTTATCTAAGAGATATTATAGATTTTAGAGATTTTTATCCAGTTTAGGTATAATTCATAATAAAAGACAAAACTTATCAATAAATAAATAAATAAATAACCTAATAAACATAATCTTCGAGTTGTCTTGCATCATCCTCCCCTTGTTCGAATAAGACTCGCTCGAGACTTGTTTAGCTTCTTCATCAAGGTCCCTCCTCGTCAATTAAATGTCTTGAAAAGTATTCGATATTTTTGTTGATCTTGACCCTTTCAAATGGTTTTCTTTTTCCAACCATTCAAATCAAGTAAGGGTATTATACTATTATTAGATCACTTACGTTTGCATCTTTCTTTGGATGAAATAAGAAATGATCATTATAAATAACTGGATCATACATAAATGGATCAGACATGACAAACCCAAATTGATTTATTCCTATGAATTCAAGCCATGTTTCCTGAGGTTCGGTCCCACCATCAGGCAAAAAACGATTATTCTTAGTGCTTACCGTCTCGTCTTCCTTAGTGATGTCATAGATTGTTTTTGTATTATGGACATGATCAATATCATAAGTGGGATCGATATCGTCAATAGGGTCTCGTTTATAGATGGGTCTGATGTGGCAGACGAGATCTGAATCGTAGACAATACCAATAAACAGGAAATTCCTCTAAACCATAGGGACCATTCGTGTAATTTACTCTTTTATTTAATAGCATGTAATTTCAAAATTAAAGTATGTATGATTTGAATTTGATACCTTCCACCATTTAAAATATTATTACCACAGCTTACGTTTTCATAATAAATAAATAATAAATAATATGTGTTCTAGCTCTAAACATCGATTTTAAAGTATATTTTTGAAATTGGATTTGGCCTTCGACAGTCACTGAGTCACACGCTTTTATTGATGTTTGTGGATGGCTCTTGGCGACTGTTATTATATGGAAGATAATTAATTAATTAGAAGTTACAAGTTGCTTAGGTTGGACACTAAATTTTGGCGTATCATGGTTAAAGACGGTTAAAAGTGGTGCTTTTGTGTGTGCGTATGCAATGACGATTGTGAAAAGGAAAGGAATAATTAAGACATTATTTGGTTAAATACCTTGACTAATTAGTATATAATGCATTTCCTTTTTTCGAAATCCCCACGTTATTATATGTATTTTTACTTTTTTAGTAATTCATTAAATAGTATTTCTTCACATAAGATCAACCCAAAATCTTTAAATTTTGAACATTTAGATAAATTCACTTGTGTATAATAATGTTATATATATATATATATATATATATATATATATATATATATATATATATATATATGGAGTCTAGCTAATAATTTCTTTTCAAGAAGACTCTATAAAAAAAACGTGACTTCAAATTATATAAATTATATTATCTTTCAAATTCTATCAAATTTGGCCGATTTATATCATAAGTAATTACCTTTTATGTAATTTATATATGGGAAATTGAGTAATCTAACCATTTTTTTGTATTTTTTTTTAAATATAACTTTTTTATTTTTGCAAAATAAACACATATTTCGGAATGGGACGTTCCGGAACGAATTATGGATTATTTTTCGGGTGACCCAGCCCATTTCATTGGATCCGAAATGCCTATTCCAGGGGAACCGTATATGTTCCGGATCGGGATTTTGAATTTTAAAATCTGGAATATAATTTGAGGCAACAACTTCATTCCGAAAAGGCGCATTCCCATTCCGACATCCCGACGTTCCGACCCGATTCTGACACGCAACTTCCATCTCCGACACGCATCGACACCCATCTACGACATGAAAGATGAGCACTACGACCCCGTTATTTTATGGGTATGTTCTTCGTTTTCTACTGTTACTTACTGTTCCGGGTGTAGTAGACTACCTCCAGAATGAACTGAAAACGTTCCAGAGATTAAATTAAAGATGCCATTGTAGTAGGACCAACTGAAAAGTGGTTTAGATGTTTAGTTATTGTTGATTTACATCGAAATGTCGTGTTCCAGATCCTAAAATGTCATTCCGAAAGCCTCTGGAACGCGAAGAACCATTCCGAAACACGATGAATGCGTCCAGAACGTGAAGAGGTAAGTTCAATTGAGAAAATAAAAAAGGTTGAGAATGGGGGAATCATTCTCAGCCACTCATTTAATCTAAGCATAAAAAGACACAGTGGCAAACTTGTAAATATGATAATAACCTTCAATCTCAAATACGTAACATCGATTTCTTTGTTGAATACTCCGAATTTGAATATACCAGATTCGCAAACGAACTCAGTTGGAATCAGAATTTCTTTGTTGTTCATGAAATTGGAATTGGAGTTCTGGACTCGCAGTCACAGTCGACATTGAAGGACTCGGAATCGGTACTCACAGGTTCCTAATCAGATTTTCGGAAATCAAAATCAAAATGTGAAGTCGATCAGGCATAGGATGTCGCATTTGAAGTCGGAAGCTTTTGAAATTGGAACATATATTCTAATCTGAACAGTTCGCGTCTTGATTATCAGTATTACAAAGAAATCTGGAATCGGGATTTCAAGGTTCAAAATTGAAATCAGAATTTTTTTGGAATGAAATGAAAATCGGAATGCACGCTTCAAAGTCGAAATCGGAAGTATATGATGATTTGGAATTGATAACTTGAATTGGAAGATCATTTTTTAACATTTTAAAAAAGTTAACTTGTATGCACTCCAACTGTTTGATGAAATGCATAAACTAAAATTACCACGGTATATTCACATATGAATATGTTTTCTGACCTGAATTAGATAGATGATTAAAAAAACAGAAAACAAATATGCAAGTCTGTAGGTAATTCATATGTGAATAACGTATAAAAATTATATATTTGTGAAAACACCTTGTAAGATTCATATGTGAATATACTGTGTAATATTCATAAGTGAATAGATCATTTATATTCACAAGGAAATATATTATGTAAAATTCACATGTGATATACCATGTAATACTATGTAATATTCACATATGAAAATATCATATAATATTCATAAGTGAATATACCATCTAATATTCACAAGTGAATATACTATGTAATATTCTCAAGTGAATGCATCGTCTAATATTTAAATAGGAATATACTATGTTATTATATGCTATATTCATATATGAATGATACTTAAATTATAAAAAAAAAAATTAATCATACTTTATTATTCATAAGTGAATAACGAATGTACTGTAGTAAAAACATGATGCATTTTTATTCACTTATGAATAATGATAGCTGAAAATATAAAAAAAAAAAATTATTTTATCTTAAAACTATATCAATATGGATGTCTATTTGTAGAGAATAAAAAATCATGAATTTTGGTATATTTAAAATCATTTTTCGATAAAAATAGTTTCTTAAAAATTAAAAAAAAACGAAATAAATTATGTTTTTATATATATTAAAGTAATGATTAGCATAGTTTAAGGGAACATGTTTTGTTGGAAAACACATGTCTATTCCTTTCCTATTTCCGCTGCTACGACCGAGGCTTTTGCGACAAAAAATAAATGAGTGGCTGAGAATGATTCCACCATTCTCAACCTTTTTTTTCTCAATTGAACCCTCCTAGATATATAGATATATATATATATATATTATATATATATATATATATATATATATATCTATATATATATATATATATATATTATATATATATTATATATATATATATATATATATACACTGGGCGAATACCTGCGCGTTGCGCAGAATACAACAATATATTCAAAATCTTTACGAATATTTGTTTTTTAAATATTTCAATGACGTTATTGTTATC